CCCCGCCATGCAGTGCGTGGGCGCTTTTCCGCCCCGTCGCACAGCGCGTGGGCGTTTTGCCGCCCCGCCATGCAGTGCGTGGGCGCTTTTCCGCCCCTGACGCGTGGTCCGCGGACGCCAGAACAGATTAATGGTTTACATTGAACCTTATGGGAAAATTTGCTTCGGGGTGCGACCAAATTCGGAGGGCAGAACAGATTAACCATGTTTACATTGAACCTTATGGGGAAATTTACCTCGACTTGCGACCAACTCGACTTGCGATCAGAGTCACGGAACGGATTAAGTTCGTAAGTAGAGGTACCACTGTATTAGGTTTTACTGAAACAATAAGTCCCTTGTACTCATACATGTTTTACAATCATACCATTTCCTTTAAATTACATGCTTGCATTTCTCTTCTTCAAATCGCAAAACACATACCAAGATGCAAAAAGTAAAGTTCAAGAAGTAATTTCTGGATAGCGTACCAGAACCCTGCACTCTTTCCAGTATCTGCCACATCTTAATTGTTCCATCTTACCTCACTAACAACTAGTTTCCTGAACTGCCTAGAACAAATCTAAGCTGTTCTCAGTTAGTCATGCTTCTGTTAAATTTGGCTAAATGCAAATAAAACTCATTCATTAAAAAAACCCAACTGTGAAGTTTCCTTGTGAACTAAACAAACAACATAACCAGCTAGGTAACTAATATGCAGAGAGAAAACTCTCAAAATTTCATCAATTAAAATTGGGTGTTTGTGTGTAATTTCAATGCTGCTTTAAGCACTTAAGGAATCTCTCCCTTTTTAAATCCTTATGCAAGGGACAGCGTAACAGATAATGAATGGTATATTCTACACAAATACAACCATATTTGCAAAGATATTCTTCCAAAGGATTGTCAGAGTACTAATTTATTACAAGAGCAGAGGGCATGGTTTGAAACCTTAGTTCGGTGCAAGGGCAACATAGCTGAGGAAAAGAGAGAAACTGAAAATAGGCTATGTTCTCCTTTACTGAACAATAACATCTCAAGAAATGGGAATCAGCTATTGGCCTTATCTTCACCTGCATGATGATTGTAAATATAATATCTCAGAGCAAGAACAATCATTTATCAAAAATGCTTCTGTTATGAGGTTGCCCTTCTCCAGTGCTGCACCTACCTAGCGCCTCTTAATTGTCCAATCCAAGATCACTGGGGAGGTCAGCATCTTAAGTACTACTCAAGCTGTGCCAAAATTTTATGTACCTTATGTGAACACTAGCTATGATAAATGTTAGCCCCAGTTCTACACCTGGAGAAAAAGCTGCAGGTATACAGGGGAGATGAAGATTCCATGGGTGTAATGGTATATGGGAATGACGATGCTGCCTAGAGAATGATCAGATAAAAGGGAGAGGAGCCCACAACTGCATAATGGACAAAAAAAGAAACTTAGAAAGAATCTGCCCTAACTTATCAGGCTGTAAAGGGAGACAGCAGGAGATTTGTACTTTCAGACTTGCAAGATTCAGTTAACATAGCCATACAATAAAGTAGAATTAGCTCTTGTCATGTTTCCTGTCTGTTCTATCTGGGAGGCTAACAATGCAGGACAGATTACTAATACTTTACCAATTAACAGCTAAAACCCATGTGTTGTTCAGACTTTCTGAGATAGCATTTTGACCATCTGGGACATTCCATTACAAACCTCAAAGTAACAATTTTGGAACAAAAAATTAGGTCAGCACAATTGAGCATGAGACAACTGAGCTTATATATGTCAAGAGATTTCAGGCTATCGCAGAAGGTCTGAACAAACACAATGATTTTTAATATATTGCAATGGTTAACTGATACAGAACTTGTCCCCCATGGAACCTTTATCTGCATAACCGTCCAGTCTTCCCCTCCCTACTCCCTCATGCTATGTATTTAAATCCTAGATCGTTAAGCCACTCACCCATCTTATGAAGAGAGCTGAAGCTGATGAAAGCTGATGCCTTGTAATAAAATGCATTAATCTTAAAAGGCGCTACCAGACTCTGATTTTGGGCTACATAGGCTAACACAGCTCTCTTCTTACAAGGTTTATAACAGGGAAGTTCTAATAATTGTCTTAGAAATTTATTCTGAGGAGTCTCTAAAGTTTTCTCATATTTTTGCCCTATACAATATCTAAGTAATAACCTTGGCTGAAAAAAGGTTAGTAATATAATCAACTAACTGGTCATACTTACAACAGATAATAGATAACTGTTTTACTACTCTTAATTCTAAAACAAGTGAGCTTTCCAAGAAAGATTTACATCAAAAATCAAGTTCCAAAGAATGAACTTTTAGGATGGCCTTCTAACAACCGTGTACTTTTCTGGTTCTTCTTCCAAATAACATTACTTTGGTTTGGGGTACTTATGTAAACAGCTTTTACATAAATGCTATGTAACAAGATACAAAGCTCATTAAGTAGCTCAAATTACTGGTTACAGCTACTTCAATGTATGATACTTACATTTTGCATATAGCCAGAGAATCTCTCTGCCGTAGCTGAAATTGAATTTTTCACCTTCTTGAGGAGTTCTTTCTTTACTTCAGGGCTACATGCATCTTTTTTAGCAAGTAAATTGGTAAATCGTCTAGAAAAATTATGCAACAGTGTTTTGACATTAAAAAGCAGTCCAGCAATGTTAGGGTTACCAGATGTCTGGTAAAAGGAGGGCATATCCTCCTTTTTGTCCTCATGTCCTCTGCCTAGCAGGCAGAGCCTTAAAATCAAATATTATGTTTTTCTGAGTATCTACAAGCTATCTCTTCCTGGGTGCTTTTCTCCCACATTCCCTAATAAATGCTAACCACATGGTAACAAGCTCAGCTCTGAGACCTTAATTAGTTGATTAGTACCCTCTGGCAGGGTTGCACTGCTGCCCAAAATTGACATGTCCTTAATCAGTTACATGCTGAAGGCTTTTACCTCCTAACCTTTCTAGCACATTCCTGTGATTGAAAAACCAGTATTTCTGATGCTGGAAAAAAGTAATTTTATATACATGTAGGCCTAAGTACTTTTTTTTTTTTTGGCAGTTTTTCACTGTAATTTTTGTCACAATGCGAAGAAAGTGAAAGAGCATGTGCTCCTCCCCCCCATTTGTCCTCCTTTCCAACTGACCCTGTCTTCCTTTGCCTATTAAGATATCTGGCAATCCTAAGCAATGCTTAATGATAATATCTTCCAAATTCCACGACCTTTGCTTGCTATCTTCCCCCCAAAATGTGATCTCATGAATGCAATATGCTTTCTTTGATGCAAACATGCTAAAAAACAAGTAATTTTACTCCCCATTATTTTACCAGTATTTAAAAGCCTACTTATGTGAGATGCAATATGTTTATTAGCATGATAGAGCACACTGTAGCTATAAAAACTCAAGTCACTCATTGTATAGGAATGTTGTAGGTAAGCTTTGGCACGTCCTTTTCCACATAATGAAACAGCTTGCTTGCTTCCCTTCTTATATACAGGTCTCATAGGCTGTTATATTCTTTCTTATATACAGGTTTTATAGGCTCCTCCAATCAGCCACCTCTAAGCAGAGTACAACTACCCAATATATAATTGGGATTAAAAACAATACAAATCAAGTTTAAAAACAAATCATACATTAGAAATTGAAGGGATGCACCATTTCCTCATTTACTAATTAAAGGAGCAACATAAAACATGTATGAATACAATGAAATTGTGTACATTTCCCAAGCTTATAAAATAGGTATACAAGGCAAAAAGCGCACTCAGAATCATGTGTGACTAAGATTCATTTTCCACACAGTTTCTGAACATGGAAATATATGAAAAGTTGAAAACAATACACCAACAAAGAGCTCAAAATCCTGTCCTTGATCAGTACTATCCATAACATCCAAGGAATTGCCTTTATAGTTTTTCAACGTTCAGTTTTAAACAATCAAAAAGCAGCAGGGATTTCATAACAAAGCAATCTGATTTCAGGAAATCCAATGTTTCCCCTTTGCAGCATTACGAAAAAAATTTTAAAACAAAAGTTGAAATCAGAACCTCTCTATTCAGGAAATTTCACAATATCGAATGATAAACATTCTCATGTTTTCATCTCATCATCTCATTTCAAATCACTGATTTAATTTAATTTGTGGAGCTGGATTATATACAAAGGAAATATATTTCTATTTACTTTTACAGGTAGTCCTCAACTTATGACAACTGGGACCAGAACTTCCCTCACTAAGTGACATGGTCGTTAAGTGAGTCATGCCCGATTTTACAACCATTTTTGCAGCAGTCGTTAAGCAAATCACATGGTCGTTAAGTGAATCTGGCTTCCCCCATTGACTTTGCTTATCGGAAGCCTCTTGGAAAGGTCGCAAATGGTGATCATGTGACCCTGGGACGCTGTAACCATCGTAAATACATGCCCATTGCCAAGCCCCTGAATTTTGATCATGTGACCACGGGGACACTGTGATGGTTGCAAGTCTAAGGACCAGTCATAAGTCACTTTTTTCATTGCCATCGTAACTTCGAACAGTCATTAAACAAAAGGTTGTAAGTCAAGGACTACTTTACAATTGCCAAATTATATTTCTAGGAAAGACAATGTACATTCGTACATTTTAAAAAAATTATACATTGCATAAACAATTTGGATGCTTCTTTTCAGACTGTATTGATAAAAAATATTTACCCCCCCCTCAAGCTGATGCTTACCTGATCAGTGCATTAAATGGAACTTTTTTCCATGGGATACTTTGCTTCAAAAGATCATTAGCAAATGACTGAATTGAAAATAAAGACTGTAAAATAGCATTCATATAACAGGTATTTCCTAAGTTTGTAAATCTGTGAAGAACAAGATGTTATAATCAAATTGGAACACTGGCAGCATAAATATGATTTCCTACACAGATTACATCATGCCTTCTTAGAAAATCTACAGTGGGTTAACTAAACAACAGTATGCTGGACAACACACTGAGAGAAAATGTTAACTAGACCTTCCTTTAAGACACAGCTGAATGGTCCCTGGGGGAGCATACCAAAGACCATGGAATACTGTAGCTCTCCCAGTCATTCTGTAGATGACTAGAATACTGTCAGCAGCAAAGCTGCCATGGGAGAAGCAGAAAAGCAGGTGTTCTAGAGCAGACCTTGGAACAGCCAGGTCTAAAATTCTCATACTGCCCACCCAGAACTTGGGGAAAGGGAGATAGTAGGAAGAATAGGCTAGCCCATTGGTACAGAAAGGGAAAAATAAATAGAAAAGAGCTAACAAAAAGTGAGGAAAGGGAAAAATCTATCTGATATTGAATTAAATAGCCTAGCAATCCTAATTATGACTATTTATATTTACTTATTTATGCATTTTATTGATAAGAAATGAAAAGAAAAACTCATTTGAGAAGACATTAAAATTCTATCAGTGTATTTGTGCATAAGCTACGCGCTATAGCTCTGATCCTTTCCTACTCATTATCTTAACAACCCATTATATTAAATGTTAATCTTAAACAAGTGTAATAGTATGTGAAATACATAAATGACAACTGTTACTCAGGGGGATTGTTAATTAAACATATAGAACAAAGAGGAAAGCAAAAAGCATTTCCTGAAAATGAAGTACTATAGAAAGGATACTGAAAAAAATAACTGATGACAGAAAACGCTGAGAAATCTTAAGTGTGTTTCTATTTCCTCAATAGTTAACTTAGTACATGTACATAAAAAGAGATGCTGAAGATACAAAAACGAACCCTTGTAACTGCTGTTGTGGATGAGTGGAAAAAGGGACTCGGGGCTTGTTCCATCCCATGTAATCCTGATTAGATCTCAATCTTTTGACAGAAAGAGGAGCTGGCTGAGAGAGAAAGCCTAAGCTTCTTTTAGCAGAAGGATTCAATACATTAGACCTATAAAACAAGATGAATAAAACATGTATTTTTCAAAGATGACAAAACTAACCATTACTATTATGGTTCAGTTATAAGCAAAACTGACACCTACTTAGAGAAATGTCAATGCATTAAAAGAAAGATATTGTACTTACCTTAAAGGTGAATTAGTTTTATTTCCATCCAAATAATTTACCTGTAATGGGGCATCTTCAAATATCAAGAATATAACGAGGGAAGCAGATATAGGTTTTTTGTATAATGATTCTTGGTTGGGGGTGACATTGTTTTGAATTCAGTATCATCTTCCTCCCAGGTGAATATGATACTACATAGTGTTTAATATTCTAAGGAGTCTCTATAAATCACATGTGAGGTCAATTCTTGCCTACAGCAGTAAAGTTCCCTTTTTTTCTAAGTTTGTTAATATATAGGCTCAAGCAGAAATACAGGCAGTCCTCAACTTATGACCCTTCATTTAATGGCCATTCAAAGTTATGACAGCACGGAAAAAAGTGTCTTACAACTGGCCCTTGCACTTACAACTGTTGCGTCATCCCCAGTCACATGATCAAAATTTGGGCGCTTGGCAACCGGCATGTATTTACAACGGTTGCATGTCCTGGGGTTGTGTGATTGCATTTGTGACCTTCCCAGGGGGCTTCCAAAAAGCAAAGTCAGTGGGGACAGCCAGATTCACTTAATGACCACTGTGATTCTCTTAATGACCACAGTAAAAAAGGTCATAAAATCAGGCACAACTCACTTAATGACTGCATTGCTTGGTGATGGAAGTTCCGGTCCCAATTGTGGTTGTAAGTTGAGGACTACCTGTAAACTCCATTTCATTTTTATTTGCATGGTTTCTGTGAAGGGATGACCAATATTTCACATCTGGGAATAAATGCCATTTGAAGTACACGCACTTAAAATATTATGCATTTCCATTGTTATTTATATTGTTGAAACTATTCCTGTCTTGAGATGAATAATCAGAAATAAAATTCAATTATCATTTTGGATATTCAGCAAGCACAAATGTTTGAACACTGTATTTACTTATTGTATGGGCTAGCTTTAGCAATGAATATTGCAGCTGCTTTCTTTAATTTATTCCTGGTTACAGCTACATAAGATCCAACATGACACTATTTGCAATTCCCAGCACATCTCTAAACTACAGTCAGTAGCACTCTCCCCAACAAAGTTTTCTCAGCTTTTAAAGATTTTTTTTCCTAGAGGTACACCTCCTTATATTAAATGTCCGATGGCATTCACAAACCAATTTGAACCATAAGTTCCTTGTATAAAGCAGTCACCAGGTTTTTCAGCTATGCTCAACTAAGAGCTAATAACACGCTGGAGTTTTAACTGACAATCACCCAAGAGGGGCACCAAAACTTTTCTTTGAAACAGTAGCCTAATGATTATACCCTAGAAACTTTTCCCCCAAACTGCCAAGGTAGACAGAGTGAATCTGGATGTTACACAATGGAATTAGATGGCCAATGGCCAAATTTTGGGTTGATGAGTGAGATCGAAGGAAAGTTACCAATTTGATGGTAGTGCCACCTACATTCAGGGTCACATAGTGCTGCAGATGATCACAAGGTTGGAAAGTAGAGAGAAAGCTGAATGCTCAGAGAATGGGAGGTAGAGGGAAATTAAAATAAGTCAGTTGGAGGAAATTTGAGGAGCAGCAACAGGAGTTGTGATGAAATGGTTTGGTGTAGAAGGATAAGATGGATTGGCCATAGTAGGAGATTGTATTGTTTGCATTTTGGAAGAGAAGACTGGACAAGGGCCTAAGGAGGAAGGACTGGATGACAGAGCACATTATACCAACAAGAATACAGATTGGAAGAATGCATTACAGTATCTGACTGGCAGCCCAAAGGGTACGTCTCCTAAGTGTTTGCTGAAAGCTAGGCTGGAAATGCCATAAAGTCATGATCCCTTATCTGGAGGCTTGGGTGGAACAAAACAGACTGTGACTGAACCTAGCAAGGTTTATACAGAAATTGCTGAGTTATCTGTTGGATCTAGCTGTATCTTTGGATGGGACAGTATTCCCCCAAAGGAATAGGTCTGTGACTTGGCAGTCCCAGACTCCAACTACTGCTAAATGCACAGGTGGATGCTCTGGCCAAGAAAGCTTTTGCCCAGCTTCTGCCCTGCCTGAAACAAAAGGACATGGTGACAGACTTATACCCCATCACCACTAGTGTGTACTACTGCACTAAGCTGTACATGGGACTGCTATTGAAGATCACCTGGAAGGTGCAACTGGAACAAAATGAAGCTGTCCCTGCTGGGGACAGAGGTAAGAGTTGCCTCAGCCAGGTGCCACTAATGATCTGGATGCTGCTTCTGTTGCCAATAGATTTCTGAATGCAATTCAACAAGCTGGTTTTAATCTTTAAAGCTCTACATAGTTTGGCATCAAAGTACCTTTGAGACCTTCTTCAGGTAGGACATTTATCCTGTATGCTCATTTCAGGTGGGGAAGCTTAGGGTACCACACAGCAAAAACTGGTTGGCTAGCCCCTGGCAGGTCCTAATATCCATAACGACATCCTCAAGTTGCACTTGATTCCTGGTGTGTATCTATAGGTAACCATGTTGTTGTCTTCACAGCAGCAATACAGAAAAGGTTTGCTATTGTGCTTTTCTAGGAGATACATACACACACGGAGAAGACTCTTAAGAGTCTCCTAGACTGCTAGGAGGTCAAACCAGTCAATCTTAAAGGAAATCAACCTTGATTGCTCATTGGAAGGATAATGAAGCTCGAGCTCAGATACTTTGGTCACCTAATGCGAAGAGAGGACTCTTTGGAAAAGCTCCTAGACTGCTAGGAGGTCAAACCAGTCAATCTTAAAGGAAATCAACCTTGATTGCTCATTGGAAGGATAATGAAGCTCGAGCTCAGATACTTTGGTCACCTAATGCGAAGAGAGGACTCTTTGGAAAAGACCCTGATGCTGGGAAAGATTGAAGGCAAAAGGAGAAGAGGACGGCAGAGGATGAGATGGTTAGATAGCATCACTGAAGCAATGAGCATGAAACTGAGCAAACTCAGGGAGGCAGTGAAGGACAGGAAGGCCTGGCGTGATATGGTTCATGGGGTCATGAAGAGTCGGACACGACTTAATGACTGAACAACAACACATACATACACACACACTTCCCAATCTGGCCAACAACCCTCATTTTTCCCTTGAAGTTTTATATCCAAATACTAGGCCAACACTACTTAGCTTCTAAGCCCAGACAAGACTAGCCAGGTGCTGGCACCTGCTAAGACTGCATATCCATAGCTACCCTTTTATAGAGTACTTGGAATGGCTTCAGGTGACCTAAACAAATTAAATCAGGCCACTTCTGGGCACAAATAAATGAGAAACAGTCAGTTTTGGTGTTACTATCAAACAGTAATATAAGTGATTTCACAGAAAAACACATAGATTCTTGATGAATACAGCATTCTGATGATAAAAGCTTTTTTTGGTACCTACCTGTCCAAATTAGAATTACTAGCTGAATAATCCTTTGTAGAAGATCTGCTACCATAAAATGAAGATGACTGTAAAGGCAAAAGCCCTGGAAAGTATACAGATACAACTTTTTGTAAAAACTGCCTTAATAGGCCTGCAATATCACACACACAAATATTCAGTACTTCAGATGAGATGCAGAATCCTAGTATAATCAGAATGTACCAAGTTCTATCAGAAGCCTGATACATCTCCTGAAATTCTGGATTGAGTGCACTGAAATTCTGGATTGAATGCATTTGCTAAGCAAGGCAGAGACAGTTCTCAACAAAACTGAAATATTGGGGATTTATTTTACACATATCTTATTTCTCAAAATTCTATCACTTGGCCAGTAGTATCAATTGTAAACCCTATGTCCTTTTACTAATCATGTTACACCTCAGCTTTACTAGAATTTGTCATCTGGTCATTTGCTTCAGGCAGCAGGATCATATTGAGTAATGAGGTACATATGGATAAGCAAATGCATTAAATATTTTACATGCAACATCTTTAAAATTTTCTCTAAGGCTGTTTGTATATACTACAGTAGGGTTTTTCAAACTGTGCTGGCAAGAACTTGATGGGATTTCATGAGAAACTAAGGGGAAAAAAGGTTCACTTGAGCATAGCCAATTTTTAATTGCAAGAACTTTGCCTCTTGCTCAGGGATTCTGGGAATATCTTTTTAGCTAACAGGTTATGTGGCTTGAAAGAGTTTGAAAATCCCTGAACTAGAGTACACCCAGGGAATACTTTCCTGATGTGGAAGCTGAAATCAAAGAGCAGAGGCATGCTCTCTTCAACTTGCATCTTTCATTAAGCACCTACTCTGTGACTCCATTTTCTATAAAATGGCTAATTTCAGTCTCACTTTTCACTAAAAGTATTATATAGTGTGAAAAAATATTAAAACTGCAACCTCCTAAATTTCCATTTAAGTACATAATGCCTGATTTAGGATTAACTACTGGGGGGAAGGCAGGGAAATTTACTGAGACCAGTAAATTAAAATTGAGAGGCAAAAATAATTTGCAGACTAATTTGCTACTGGATATGAATCAATGTGCTCTGTTGCTGTTGTTGTAATTATTATAATTTATATGCAGCCTGATTCCCAGTGACTCTACGTGGTTCTAAAGATAAAACTGATTGGGGCCTTTTTATTCTGAACTAGTATATATGATTCATATTTTAATCTCTGCCAATTTTGTAATTAGTAAACCAAATCCAAAATAATTCTACCAATTTTTTAAAAAAATTCTTAGAAAATCAACTAAGCATTATCAAAAACAGTACCATTTCTTTACCTGATGCCCTGTTCTCCTCAGCCTGTTTCAGATTCAGCTGCTTCTCCCTACTACTGTGTAAGAACTTCCGTGCTGGATCAGTCATGGCTTTGTTATTACTATAGACAAATACATGTAACCTTAGTTATATTATTTGTAAAACACTATATGCTACTTCAATATTATATGCTAGTTCTTAAGTTTATATTTACCTGCATTCACAAATAGTTCCCTAAAACTTTCAAACATACTAGAAAATCATGTCTAAACACTGCTTCAATATAAATCTGCCTCTTTCAAATATTTAATTTAGTTAGCATAGAACAAGAAAGCTTAGCTTTAATTAGCACACCGAAGTACACATAAAATGTACATACATGCATACATACACATTCGATCCATATTACCAAATTCTTACAGTTCTTAAGTGGACTAATAACAACACTGGGATTTATTTCCCTGGAATACTGTGTTATTCTGATTTAAAAAGTTAGGAATAACAAAAAAAACTAATATTGAAACTACAGAGAAAAACAAAAGAAACAGAAAAAAGAAAATAAAAACAGCAAAAGCACACCTTGATGAATCATTTTCTTTAGGATAATCTTCATTCATCTCAACCACAGGTGGTGTTCTTTTCCTCCTTTCACTATTTCATAAAGAAAAAATAAATATTTGCTTAAGCCACAAGAAGAGAACCCTATCCTCTTCATGTTTAAGATGTTTTCAAGGAGTATCAAAGACTTTTAACTTTGAAAAATAAAAATTAAAATGTTTAAATGCTTCGCTACATTTTCACATATTTTCTAGACATTTCATTCATACATAAGATCAAATTACCATATACCTGGTATGAAAAGCAATTTATTAATTCACTTCTACAACCTATTCCTATTTCAGTCACAAACACTGAAAGTTGTGCTGCCTTCAAAGTTTCATACCGGTTTTCTAACAATCCTGTTCTGTGAGGTGTGGAAGCAGCATTAGCTGAAATATTGACCCTGCTGAAAGACATTCCAGTTACTGGAGAATTCTTAACTGATGCTCTTCCTGGGCTGCCCAATACTTTACGAAATGGAGCTTCATCTTTATTTTCTACAATCGCTCTTCTAGGAGTCTAGAAAATCAAAGAGAAAATACTAAAATCAGTTTAACATATTTAGTGGTGTGAAAAATACTTTGAAATGAACTATTCAAATCTGAGGTGCCCAGTTTTGATCTCAGATAGTTTTTATAAGTGTCAAAAACACTTCAAGATGACTGACACAGCACATTCTGAAAATGAAACAGCTGACCATCCAAATTTGAAATGTTTTGCACACCCCTACAATACGCTATGTTTATCACAGACACATATCAGAAAGTAAAAATCAGGATTACTGGAAATCATAACCCAATAAATAATGCATATAGATTAATTTGCACAAACCAGTGTTTTGTTACAGATCTATAATTTGCTTAATATTTGTCTCATTTGTTTGCATTTTCATCTGAACAAAGTGGAAAAAGTTGCTTAGAACTACAGGAAATGAAAGGCCTTGATTACTATTACCCCTCTGTTATTTAAAGAGAGACTTAGCTCCTTCTCTACTAGTTAAATCAATGAGGACATAAAAGAATGTTTCATCTTGCACGAAAAAACATATTTCTGTTCAGTTCAACACAAGTGGTAGCACCTAGAAGGTTAAGCAGGGTTTGACTAGTTAGCATGTGGCTGGGCAACCACTATAAATCCCAGGACTACAGGCTACAGGGAAGTTGAAAAAGCACTCCACAGGAAAGCAGTGGAAACCCACTTTCATGCTGTTGCCAAGAAAACAATATGGACGTGGACATGTAGTCACCAGGAGTAACAGTTAACATTTTTACCCTCCTAATAAATATGCTGAAACCTTTCAACTGACCAATACCAGAGCCTGAGGTGGGGTCTATAATAATATACCACCCATCTAACAGACTCACCTTTATTGTCAATAACAGGTTATCTTTTGTTAAATATACAGGTAAGTAGTCAAAAAGTTAAAATATTCTTTTCAATGAGCAGAAAATGCTTCTGCATTTTTTGTCCCGAGAATCCTGGACCATTGTAATTAAGTTCTATTTCATACCTCTTGAATCTGGGCACTTGTAGGCAGCTATCCTTGGACAACTCTTGTGTTAATTTTCCCTGCTATGTTGCTGGCTCTTTATTACCTTGCTTAACTAATTTGATTCTAGAGATCAACATGAAGTCCATTCAATTCATTGTGCTTCTATTTAGTATTATTTTTGCCTTATTATACTGCCCATTTCCTATTTCCTGATCTGAAACTTTTGTTTCTGACCTTGATCTATTTGTCTGCCTCACTAGATAGTGATCTTCCCTCTCAATAACGCATCTGCTAAGCCCAATTGTTTTAACAACCCTGAAATCAATGGTTTTCATAGTCAAACCAGAAAGCCACCCCTGTGAATAACTGCTACTAAAACTTTGGGAAAGTAATGATAACTGGATACAACGATTTTGACCTCAGTTTAGCTTCTCCATCACTCTTATTAAATTTTCTATCTAGAAAAGCCTATTTGGCTGTTTCTAGCTAACACTGCTCTGGACTATGCCCACACATAGTTGTGGCATTTTGCTCTAACTTAAAACTTAGTGTGCATGCAACTGTACTTTGAAATTATCAACAAAACAATGAGAACAGATTAGCTGTTCTGTTCCAAACACTGTTATGCTAATGTTCTTAAGTCTATCAATTCTATCCTCATCATTTTCACTAAAAACAGTTTCCCCAGTTAGTTTAACCATCCAACCTAATTATTTCTTAATACCTTCTTATTTTCTATTCTTAGTAAACACTAGTTCCTTTTTTCCCCACCTTTTCTATCTTTAGGCGAAAATACTCATCAGTCACAACTTTCATTACTGCAGCAGTCTTATTTCAAACTACTATAATTAAATTGGAGTCAAGAGTTTATCCGCAAGATTTGAGTCACTGGTAAGCTTGCTGGAGAACTGAATACTTCCTTTAAGTCCATCCGTTGCCTGGCTAAACAGAATTACATAATGTTAGAAGCCCTTTCTGATAGGCTTGAATATTGTATATGCACTGCGTAAGAACAAAAACTAAATGTGTTTGAAGAATGTGACTTTAAGCAAGTGTGGAGGGGAAGCTGCTTTAATCTTATTCTATTGTACTCTTTGTTAATTTGTTTACTAAATGCCTACTTCGTAAACCAAAAAACAGATCAAATTGTAGTTTTCTGAAATTCTTGCATAAAACTTCTTACCGTTCATGTCTAGATAAGACATAAAATGCTGGGATTTAATCACAATAAGTCTCCAAGTCCTAACATAGATTAGGCCATAAGAGCTACAGACTCAGAAGCTATATATATTCTGTAAGAACAGTAGCCTAAACCGGAACACTGGAATTACTCCGAGTGTTCCTTCTCCTTGGAGATGGATTTACATCCTAAAGTTACCCCACCCTTCATTTACTGGATGCAGTACTTATTTCCAGCCTCAAATATTAGAGGAAGGAGGTCTTTCCCCATCATGAGAGACATCAATAGCCCAAACAAAAATGTTAAAAAGAACTTTTGAAAACATATTCCCTGTAGCATTCTAATCTGATCTGAAACTCAAGAAAAAGGGAACAGAGTATCAAACTCAGTAGGAGAGGAACCTATATTTTGCCTCTAGAAGCTACATTTCCATACTGGATAGAGAAAGAAGTCTTCCTATGTCCAAGGAAAAGGAATATTCACGTTAAAGATGATCTTCTGTTCTTGTTGTGAAACTATATCCTGTGAAAGAATATACATTATCTTCATCATTCTGGGGAGAAAAAAGACCTCACAATTCTGGGGTAGGTAATAAAGCACAGGCTTCCCTCATTTTATGCTAGGGTGATATTCTCCAAAAGCCTCACATAAAGTGAATTCACATAAAGCGAGACACTCAGTGGGACAAAGAGGGTTGCAGGGTATGGTGTTAATTTTATCACCCAAACGCATTGGCAAATGTGCTCATAAATTTTTAGAGACTTATTTTTAAGCACTATGTTACTCAAAACGTATTTTCTTCCTTGTGTTCTATATACAGTGAAAACATTTTCTCCATCTTTTCTACAGCCAATTTTTAATGCACGTGGTTTCCATGGTAGACAAAAATAGAGAATGCATCATGGTGCTATGAATTTTATTAACTTTCTTTGTTATGCTGTGCACAGTAGATTCTCCCAAACTGAATGTTCATCCTAGGACTGACAATCATTCACCAGCTTTGGTGCAACATAGTATGACCAACTTTGTTTCCAGTAGTTAGAGAGGTCCAACCCCTTAATCAAAAGGAAAAGGACAAAATGTTGATGGCCATTTTGGCCCCATCAGTAGTAGCTTCTGTAGGTATGAAAGTTAGTAGACAGCATCCAAAACTAGAACAGCCACAACATGATGGTAAACGCATGACTGAGGGAAAATGTTCAAGCGATTTTAGCAGGAAGAAATCTTGGCATGTTTCCAGACCTCACTGCAAATGACTATGCAAAAAGTCAAAATGATCAGTTGCATAATAATGTATGAAAATAGTGAATTCACATAAACCAAATTTCCATAAAGCAAGGGAAACCTGTATTTTCCTGCCAAAAGTGCCATTGACAGAGCAAATATATTGATTTTATAGTGATGAAAGCATCTAGTCAGTAGCCTTATAAATGCGTTTCAAGGAAATATTTATGTCAAAGGTCACCAGTGGGGCTGCTCCTTCCACCGTGTTGGCCCTAATACTTTCCAGAATTGAAAATCACCAAGGTGAAGCTGAAATATCAACCTACTCCAGGCAAATTCAAAACCTTCTTGCCTTGGATAGTTACCATAAATAGCAATTCTGTATTAATTCCCTACACATCATGCTATTTATTCTCACTTTGAGGATAAAGGTTTGAGGCAGAAAGACAGAATGCTAAGATTCTCTATTATAGAAAAGACAGAAATGGCCTTTGACATGCATGACAGATCAGTCTGAAGTGCCTTCTTTTTAATTGTGGTAGAGAAACACATTGGAGTGACCTAAAAATCTGTGAAAATCCTGAGCAGCTTGTTCCAGAAAGAATACTATGGCCAAGCAATGGAGGAAAATGTCAGACAGAAAAACACCAAGATTAATAAAGCTTCTGCAAAGTCTCTCTCCCCCACTCCCCGCCACCATCACCATCCCATGTTTACTGAAGGTATCAATTTTGGCAGGGAGACATGCCTCATTCTTCAAATCAAATCGTGTATGGGAATGTGTGCACCAGTGGTAACACTGGGATACTTGGCAATTAGAGTAGCATATAAGCCCAGTAAATAAATAAACAATATATATTAGTTGTGATTTGACAGGAAAAGGAAATTATTAAGTACCTGAATGGAGATGGAGATGAAAATTAAATATAGTTATTACATTTAACTGTAAGTGGCTTATTAGCATTAATTGCTAAAATAATTGTAATACTAAAAAAAATCTTATTAGCAATTATTCTAACCCTATTCTTCAGAGGTTTAACAATGCCCTATTGTGGATAGATAATGTCTATTAAGCCATGGAACAGTTGGCCTAAATAATATGCAAAAATGCGTGTGGGCCTATGTACTCTTTCTGAAAGAGTTTTTACAGCTCTACAGAGACTCCCATCAATTTGGCCTCATTCTTCCTTCTCTATGGGATATAAAACCTCAAATTTCTAAGAGGTATGAACAAAGGCTGTTCCTAGAATCAGAAGTTATTCGCAGAGATGATAAGATGGGCTCTGTAATCTTATTAACATACTTATCCCCATAAAAATGAATGTTGCCACTATTTTCTGAATAATTTATTCTAAGAATGCTCTTGTTCCTAACAATAAATCAGGAGGGAGTTTCTGATATTGATTATTTGTCACTGGGAAGAAAGAACTAATTTGCTCTGTCTCCATCCTTGAAATCTGAGGGAAGAACATGAATAAATGCACAAACATTATTTGGGGGAGTGTTATTCCACACTTTAAAATTAGTAATGGAGTCCAGAAATCATGGATTCTAATGATTTTAAGCTATATAAAAAGTGTTGCCCTTTAGCCTAATATGAGAGTTCACTTAACCAAACTCTATACTTGATTCAAATGGTTCAAAAACACGTAGCTATAATACTTCTGACTGATACATCATATTGTAAGTACACAAAAAAGAGAGATGATAAGAAAAGGAAGAAGACAAAATCAAGTTAAATACCTGGGTTTCAAGGGATGGAAACTGTCTGTTAGAATCCTTCTGCATGGCTCTATTGCTTAAAACTCCTCCAAAACTGCCAGATCCATGAGATAATTTCACAGCTAAAAACAAATCATACTTGCAAATAAATTTTACACATTCCATTTGTACATACATCGTATTACTGTAATTCTTTTCCTGTAACACTAGAATCATTGAGAAAAACACACTTGCATACTGATGTTGCCCACAAAAAACATATATTATACAAGGTCAGCTTTATATATATCTCCCCTCCATCAAGAAGTTAGTAAGTTAATGTTTTATACTAACCTGTCTGAATCCTGTTTTGAACAGCTTCCAGATACAACTTCATTTCATCGGCATCTTTGGATGGTATTTTATCAAGAGTCAAAACACTAGAATCCTTCAGTGTTATCGTCAAGCAACACAATTTCCCTTTACTTGGTCGCACGACTACATTTTTAATATTATGGTTCAGCTAGAAAGAAAATAAATGAAAACTGTATACACACACACATATATACATATACACATACATAAAGCCATATATGTATACAAAAGCTCATAATATAGCCTGTGTCTGTTCATAAACTCCATGCACGTCCAAACAAATTCTAAGCACAATGAATTTTATGCAGTCTTATTACAAAGGGAAAGCCTTTCTTGAAGTAAATGATCACTGGCAAACTAGGTAATATTTACATTTGTCCATATGACACCGCAATATAAAATGGGATTTCCACTCTTCATTCTAAAACTGCTGTCCAACCTCCAAACCGTAATTCCTACTCTACATCTCTTTTTTAAAAATTTTAATACAGGAGCTTGTTTTTAGAATACAAACTGGATCTTTCTCAGTTAAACAGGAAACAACTGTTAATAAAAATAAAATGTGCTCCAAAGGGCAGTCAGAGGGTCAATGCAATCTTTAACTCATTTTGTTCATTCAGTAGGGCTTACTCTAATATAAATATGAATATGAAAATTCCAGTCTTGGAATAGAGATCCCACACATATTTTGAAACTATCATGGAAATAGTGCATATAAATGAATAGAACCCAAACAATGAATCTACAAAAAGCCTTTCAACATTAGAACTGGAAGGAAATTAAGCCGTGATCAAACTGCTTTATGGTTAGTGCCCAATGCATAATGCTTACAATGTTTAAATGCTGTTTTCTGACAAGTTTAAAGTTTTTGTAATTTTTTTTCTTTGAAATACAAATACACAACTGAATGATTCACAATACTGTCTGTGTTCTGGAAAAGTGAAATGAGCCTCTGAGGAAAGTTCAAGTGACAGCTAAATGGATTTGAAAAGGACAGCTACTCATAAAGACCCAAATCATAAGATATTCCAAACAAAAAAGCCTCTTAAATTCCAACTCACCTGAAATATTTTTGGAATTCCTCCAGCATTGTAGTGAACTACCAGAATCACTTTGCTGTCTTTATCCACAATTTCAAATGTTCCTTCTTTCCATTTTGTAGTCCCGGTATGTATGCTCCGCATGCGAATAGACCCATGTAATTTCAGTGGAGTCATATTTTCATACAAAGATTTTATGAAAATAATGAAGACCACTCTTTAAACACACCTGTTTTTTTTAAAGTAAAGTTAAAAAGTTGATTACTATGGGTTACATCTATTTCAAAACTTGGCAGTAGATTTAAAATCAAAAAGTTTGTACATTAACTTTCTAAAATGTGACTATCCTCAACCCAAAATGTAGCCTAAATTCAACTGTGCCTGCTTACCAGCGAAACAAATATTACTGACATAATTAATTCTCCATGGAATTTGGGATGTCAGTACCCCATCAATCCCAAACTGTTCCAGAATTTTAAGAGACATGGGAAATGTTGAATGTTGACAATTCATCACAAATATAGCAGAGTAGAAATAAATCTGATATATTTTAATGTCTTACCCAACTTTCAAGCATAACTGAATTGGATGAGATGACATGAGATGAAAGCTAACAACTTTCTAAAGAAATTTAGGAATATATGGTTTTTTTAAAAAAATTGTACAAATAAAACCAAATACTACATGAATTGTAGCAGTTGTAGCAAATCTGAGGGAATGCCATCTACAGGGACCTTGTACTCAAGCTTCCTCAGTAATAGCTCCTTGCCTCTGGATCAACCTACCCCTATATGTTCAGATCACCACCTTCCATTTATACTTGCAAAGACACATAAAAACATGGCTCTTCGGAGAAGCATTTAGAGATGCCTGAAGATTTTGCCTTAATGGTGACACACCAGAGTCCTCATTGTTACATTTGTTACTGATTTTTTAAATTTTAGTTGTATTCGTGATAAAACTGCTCAATCTTTGGAAATGGAACAGCATATAAACCAAATAAATAGTTTCCCAAATTAATTTTCACAGCTTAGATGATCAGTGGAAACATTCTCCAATTATCCAATGAGAAGGCTATATATTATAGCACCACTAATTGAATACAGTAATATTGATTTTAATGGTATTAGCTGTTGAGTTCCTCTACCAATATCTAAGGTATCACTAGTAATTGTAGTCTTTGTCTTATTCTTCTGTTATTTTTAATGGTCTCCAGAATTCTTTCTATTATAGTCTGTTAAAATTCATTATGGATTAATTTTTAGCATAGTCAAAAGCATTTGTTTTTAATTTTTTGTTTGCATAACCTTTTTAACCTTTGTTTCATACAATAATATGACTGTTTAAATAAGGTCAGTGCTTAATCACATATTTATCAATTTAATTCAAATCCAAACATTAAAAGACATTTTGTGTGAAACAAACTTCAATATCTTAATGTTTACATCTGAATATGCTAATGTATTCCAAGCCTCTACCAGCAATGTTGCCCAAGTATTCTTCCTTTTTAATAAAGCTAAAATAATTTCAGTAAGGTTTGAAAAGTATTAGTTTTGACACTACTATTAGTGCAATAAACTACTTTTAACACTGAATGCTAAGCTTTAGCAAACCAACGCTGCAAAGTGTCTTTTATTCTTAAAAACCTAAGTAATTAGGAAAACAGATATACAGATGTAGATGCACAGATTTTTGCAATATTCTAAAAACAAAGAATATTATAAATATAACAGCATTCTAGTCTGTATTTCAAAAGAAAACTCTACCTTTAGTTACACTCAATTCTACAAAACAGGTATGATTACTTCCATATATATTTTGGGAAACAATGTATCAGGAAGGACAATAGTCAAAGTTGCAAAGTGGATTTTCAAGTAATATAATCACCACTGTTATGTATATATGAGTTCAAAGAGACATAAATAATACCAGAGTGAAAAAGATATGAACAGATGCTAATATATCCTTGTGCTCATTTTTCTTATACCTTCAACACCCTCTTAATGACCTATTGCAGTTGGGAACACCTATAATAAATATGGGGAGCTAATCCCCTTAAAATGTCACTAACAATACAGAAATCAAAGGGTACTATAAACAAAATATTGACTGGCAGAACAAAACTACATCTAAACTAGGATAAATACAGAGATAACTCCCCCTGTGTTCATTTACTTCTCAGCAAGCCGGTTTAGGCTTAGGTTCACAGTATATCTGATGCTTGAAAGGCAGCCTCATAAGTTTCAGAGCAACAAGCAGGTGAACACAAGACACTTGCTGCCAGGATATTCACTTTCTATGCTGCCCCGATCCTAAAAGTTTTGAAGCAGCCTATCAGTAGATAAGGATTATGTATATGAAGAAGCTTTTCCTACAGCTCCATTTCCATGCCAAGGAAAGCAGTCTTATTTGCTTCAATTCTACATGCCAGGTTTCTGCTAAAGAGATAACAGCAAAGTCTGTATGCCAGCAACTCTCATGGTGATACACCTTTGAGGCATTTAGCATATAGGATGAGGAGCCCTGGTTGGAGAAAAGACAAGACAGAGATGGGTTAAGGTCTGGATTTAGATCTGGAGCAACAAGAGGCCAGAGAGGGTGATGGGGAGAAAGACAACTGCTCCTGAGGAAGTAAGAGGACGAGGGACTATGCTATGGTTGAAAGGGTGTGGCGGGTGCATTTCATCGCGCCTCTCGGCCACCACGGAGATGCGCCGCTGCCTTCTCAGCAGCTTAACTAGTATAACACGGGCTGCGTCCACACGGCTGCGGTTGCGTTGCACTTGGGAACAGAATTTTCAGAGTTCGCAGGAGTAAGAAATCACACATGGGCTGGATTCGCCCTGCCCGCGAAGCTACAAGTGGGGCTAGCTGCTGAGGCTCCGGCGTGCCGCACCAACCCAGCCATAGCTCCCCGGCCCCTCCGGTTCCTGGTGGTCGAAGAAACTCCCCCATCCTCTTATCCCCTCACCCCTCCGAATCTGCCCCAAGACCCATCACCCCACCCCACCCCACCCCACTCGCTATTCATTAGTGATGGCGGCGGCAACTTCCCTCTTACCTCCACAAGCTCTCTCGGGCCTCGCTTTGTATAAATGCCGTCGCCTCCCTTCTACTTGTGGGTCTCCCCCGTGAGCCCCCTTTTCTACTCCACGGCGCGCCAGCCCGGCTTCACCAGACCCAGACCGGAGGAGCCTCCCCGTCGTTTTGTGGAAAGGGCAGCTGGCGGGAACCAGATCAGCCGCGCGAACGTCCGTCTGACGCAAACACACACGTGAAAAAAAAAGGGGGGAGAGAAACAATCGCGGGAGAGAAACGAAGAGGGAGACCCCTACGTCATCACGGCGACGACTGGCTGCCTTTCCCGCCGCAGACCTCCACGCGGATTAAGGAGCAACTTTGCTCGACACTACTTAGTTCGCGGGGCTGAGTGACGATTCTCACCCTTTTGCGCACGCGCGGGGAATCGGGCCCCTGTTCTGTGCGCGGTTTTAAGTTGCTTTGAGCTGCCACGACGCATGCGCTCCGCCCCTCTCCTCAGGCCCAAGCAGAGGTCAGAGGTCACGGCAGTTGCAAGAGCGGCGGAGGCAGAAGAGCTGAGAGGAAGAGGCGGTGGCTTGTCCTCGGATCCATGATGGCGGCGGCTGAAGTTGAAGCGGCCTCCTGAGCTCTCTCGCGAAGAAGTCCCGACCATGCACAGTTTGGCCACGGCTGCGGTAAGACCAAGTTAGGCCTGGCGTCGATTGTGCCTACTAGGGGAACAAGGGGCCTGGTCGCGGGGCGAGGGGACCCACTCTCTTCTCATTGGAGGATGAGCTTAAGAGGAGGGGGTTCAGAGACGAAGCCGTCCTCTTTTCCCGCCAAATTGTCCTCAGTAAGAATGCTCATCCTTTCTTGCGCACTAAGCTCCCAGTCCCCCAGTCGCCGCCGATCAGGGACTTGTCTTCGGGGAACAGAAGTAATGTGAGCTTAACTTCGAGCGCGCTTGCAGGGATCTGGTGATGGTTGTGTGTATTTGCATATGCTAAACTATGCGGGTTTCTAATTGCCGGCGCTTAATGCTGACACATAAACATGGCTCTAGAGATTGGTGATTTGGAGAAAACTTGTTAAGGGCTAGCTGGTGGGTGTGTTAGATCTATGCAGATGTATGTAAAGTTCTGGAGATGGTACATTTAATTATCTACAGTCTTTTAATAAGTGTTATTCAAGTGCCTTTCAATTTCATATGTTATAAAATTCCACAAAGTACTGTTTTTGAAGCCTTTTAGCTATGTTTGCATGAAAATTACCCAATGAATTGATTTTTTTTCTAAGAATATATAGGATTGTAGGTTTAAAATGTCAGTAGGTTGGATAAAAATTTCTACCAGATACTTCTCAGCAAACTTAACAGTAACTTGATAGTATTTCAATTCTAAAGAATTAGGAAGAAGTCCAACTATATAAAGTATTCAAATAGTTGTGAAAAACAACGTGCAATTTCTTTGTAAAATCTGCAGTGGTAGATTCCCTTTCTAGGTGTGAGTGGAAAATCAGGCCTGCTTTGTACTACTATTTATACTTTTTAAAAAAATGTTCCTGTTTGTTTTGCTTCTTCCCTCCCCATTTTTGTGTTCCATTATTCTCTTGTTCCTGCCACACTTTCTACATTATATCAGCTTCAGTTTGCACAATTAGGCTTTTAAGATATATTGACTAACATTCAGAGCAAAAATTAGGCAAGGGCTCATAATCATGGTCATTCAAGCTACAGGAACTATTTCAGTGTTGAAGAATACTGTAAGGGTAGAATAAAACTTTGGGAGTAGAGAGAAGAGCATAATTCTTAGGTGTTGGTGCCTGAGACCAAATTCTTGTGAATATTGGTGTGAAAGGACTTAACCTCAGCTCTCTATTTAAGAGAGCAGAATCAGAATTTTTGGTCTGAAGTAGTCCAAATGGCTTTGTTCACACATTTATGTATATACCTATCATGCTATTCTTTTGCGGGGTAAGCAACATTATGCAAAAGCACAGAAAGGAAGGAAGTAATAATACTATTACTGTAGAGCATGAGGTCAGGAAAGGAAATACAGCTGAATGTAGTTAACACTAACATTATTCACTATAACTCTCCATAGCTTTCTAGTAAATATTCTTGCTTTCATCATGTCTGTACGCTGCTTCATACATTGTTTTTTGTTCTACTGCATAAACTTGTCACTGTTTTTTAGGATCTTGTCAATTCCATCCAGCCTCTTCCTCCACATATTTGTTTGCAATTTGATCCTCATTCATTCTATATGGCAAAACCACCTCAACATATTTCTTTTGTACTGGTCACTCATTTTTTATTCAGTCCGCATTATTACCTATTCTTTCTTGACTCTATATCTTGTTCTCCAGCATACTTTTAAGTACACTGTTCCACTACATTCAGCTTTTGTTTCTTCTGACATAGCCAGTTTTCACTTCCATATAACAAAGTGGGCAGAAATTATTTATAGCCACTTTGGCTTTTTTTGACAAACTTCAATTCTCATAACTGATCATGTACAACTCTCAATCTGTTTATAAGGACTTGCACATCTTAAAATTTCTCCATTTTCTCAGCTTTAGTAAACATTTTATAAAAGTGTGCATATTTATCAACTTCCTCTAGTTTTTCATATTTTATGTGTAACTTATAACCATTGATTGCTTTCCCTGCTCATTAAACATTCCATTTTACACATGCTTTATTTCCATGATAGGCTGCTCTGTGTTCAGCAGCTAGCCTTCAACTGCATATTTGTGTAATACTTTACCATATACTTCCTCTAAATCAACAAATGAGTAATATGCTTTCTCATATCTATATACATCTCAGTGATGTGCTGAAAAGTAAAAACTTGGTTTATGCAAAGCTGCACAGGATTTCCTTAATGTTGCTTGTTGTCACTTGTCATACTTTTTCAACCAGATTTGGGTCACCCACCTTCCTAGGCATGCTTAAAAGACTTTCTTCTGTAGTTTTTACATTTCTTCTTGGTATCTTTTTCTTTTCATAAGGAAATAGCAGCATTCCTCCCATCATCAGGCATAGATGCAATCTTCATGCATTAAACAAATTACACAGCCATTCCATAAACAAACCATTTCTACATTTTAACATTTCTGTAGTTAACACCATTTATAGTAGCAGCTTGACTATTTTTCAAAATTATCACACCACTTTTTATTAATTTTTTCCTTGGGCACTAATATTTATATAATTTGTTTAATTTCTACTTTTCCAACATATCACTCCAATTGCTGTATAAATATTTAAAATTCTTTTTGCAATATTCCCTTGCATTTTTATTTTTAATCCATTCCGTTGTCTGAAGTTCCTTATATAATCCCTTTCACCTTCTCTCTATCTATCTATGTGGTCACCAAGAATCAATACTGCCGTAACGGCACATATCTTTCTCCAGCAAAATTGCTTTGTATTTTCTATGCGTTTTAACCATCCCTTGCTCCCTTTGACAATATTATTTGTAATTCTCTGTTTCTCTGCATACACTTAATACAATAGCTTTCTATCATCCTCCTTTTGTGCTTCAAACATTCTCTTATACTGTGTGCATTTTTCTCAATCACTTCATTCTTCCACCGAGCATCATTTTTCATACTTCTCATTAGCAAAACTGGAGATACTTCTGTGGAACTCTCTAACATTTTTTCACACTGTTTCTAGCAGCTTGTGCATTATCATTCCTTATATCCACTTTCCATTCATTCTGTTGGCAGATTAATCTGCTTTCTACTACTTTTCCATGCAGGACTTGTTCCATTTTCAAAATGTTTTCTTTCACATTTTTCTTTTTAATTTTTTGCAATATCCAATCTTGACAGTAGCCAAAAATGGTCTATCCCTCATTCAGGGTCTCTCATTACTTTTGTATCCATCACTAATTCTCTTTTATCATAATCAAATCAGTCGTGGTTTTTTATTCATCCATTTTCCATGTTTATAGATAAATAGACATGCCTAAATTAGATGTTCAAAACAAACAGGCCTTGTTCTAAGCAGATTCTCATCGATCAGTCACCATTCTCATTTGTTCTTGGATATCGAAATGGTCTGTTCACTTTTTCTATATCTTGTAATCTACCCATCTAATCATGTTCCCTACTAAAATGATTTTCCACTGGATTACATTCATTCAGAATGTTGCACAATTTTTACAAAATGCATTTGTTTCTTCCATTACTCTGATTCACTGGAACATAACATATAACATCACCAACCTATGTTTTCTACCATAATATGCACCTACGGTAGTCTAAATAACACTAATTCATATGTTTTGATATATATTTAGTCCTTTCATCCATAATTAAATCTACACCTTCATGTATTCATTAACTCTACTTGACAAGATCAGGCCACTTTCATTCAGGCTGTGATCCCAAGGAAGCAATGCCTGCATTTCTTTAAAACAGCCATGAGCGCTATGTTTGCATTCCCATATACTCCAAAGCATCTTTTTAGAACTATATCTGAAATGCTGCATGCCTATAATAAAAAGATGCTTCTTGAAAGTTGCTATAAAAGTAATTTCCATGGTACTTTTCTTTGTTTTAAGAGTGAGTTAATGTGGACCCAAATAGCATTGTAGAATAACATTTTTAATAGTTATTTTTATTTTGAATGTGGTTGCCTACATTTTTAATGATTGGGGGAGTGGAGGAGTGATGGTATGTTTTTGCCTCTTACCATATCCATTGAAACTTTGGGATATTCTTTTTACTGTAGTTTCATAGTTGGACACTGATTTATTTTCAGCCTGCTATCTCTATCCCTTTTCTGTCTTGTATTCCTGAGGCTGTGAGCCTTTTGCTTTTTTTTAACCAGGAGCTAGCTATTGAACATAAAATCATATCCATGCTGAGTTGAACACTTTTTTTTTGATACAGTATATACTAGGCATCCAATACTAATCAAATTCAGCTTATGAAATCTGAGGATGCAAACAAAATGTTTTTAAGGTGTCCAGCCTACCTCAGCCACTTTTGTCCCCTGCCCCCTGGAGTTGACTGGAGGGATCCACGGAGTAGTGAATGCATCTTTGCATGGGCTGGTGCTGCTAGCCTTCAAAGAGGCAGTAGTTTTCCACTTTCTGAAGAAACCCACTTAATTCCATTCATGTCTGCTGCTTGCCGTATTTCATTTGAGGTATTAGTTACCTGAAGATGACCACAATTAAAAAAAATATAAAGTTTGCTTAAGTGTGTTCTCTTTTTTCAAAGCCTGTGCCAACGGCACTTGCACAGGTTGATCGAGAGAAGATTTATCAGTGGATTAATGAACTATCCAGTCCTGAAACTCGTGAGAATGCACTACTGGAGCTGAGTAAAAAACGAGAGTCTGTCCCGGATCTTGCCCCAATGCTATGGCACTCATTTGGCACAATTGCAGCTCTGTTACAGGTAGGTTGGATGCAACTTTTAATTGAGAAAACGTGCCTATCTATCTTATAAGCAATTTATTTTGCACATATCTGGATACCCTTACTCACACTACAACTCTATACTTCAACTGAGAAAATGAATACATGATAATATAGTGACAGTTGCTTCTAAGTAAGTTCCAAAGGAGCTTGAAAGATAGTAATGAAGAATTTGGAGTATTCCAGTTAAAACTATAAAAGTCTCCAAATTCAGAATTCATGTTGTAATTGTTATATTTTATTTCTTCAGCTTTTAAAAAAATAAATAATTAGCTCTTATCAATTAGAATTGATAAATTGAACAAATATTTATCAATTCTATCAATGAATCATAACTGATTAGCAGGGGATTGGTAATGCTTCAGTAAGAAATATTTTCACACTAGTGTTTTTTTTTCTTTTTCATAGGAAATTGTAAATATCTACCCATCTATAAATCCACCAACTTTGACAGCTCATCAGTCCAACAGAGTATGCAATGCTCTGGCACTTTTGCAATGTGTTGCATCACATCCAGAAACCAGGTGTATATGCTTTGTGCATTGACATTGTGGGAATCATAATGTATTTTTGCTAGTGAGGTTTATGCCCAGACCTGAGGATGTAAGCTTTTTAGTTTATCATTTCTGCCTTATTGATAGCATAAATAATAACATCAGAACTGCACATTTGACAGTCCCAGGGAGAATAGAAATCAGATTAATTTCTGCATGTGCCATCATGTATCAAGATCCATGTTATTTGCAAATACAGTGGTACCTCCAGTTACGAACTTAATCCGTTCTGTGACTCTGGTTGCATCTCGAGTTGGTCTCAAGTCGAGGTAAAGTTTCCCATAAGGTTCAATGTAAATCCAGTTAATCCGTTCCACCCTCCGAATTTGGTCGCACCACGAGGTAAATTTCCCCCATAAGGTTCAATGTAAATCCAGTTAATCCGTTCCACCCTCCGAATTTGGTCGCACCACGAGGTAAATTTCCCCCATAAGGTTCAATGTAAATATGGCTAAACAGTTCTGAAACATATGCATTTTATTTTTAAACCTCAAAAGCCTCCCAAACGCCACAAAACCCTTCCAAACGCCACAAACCCCACCACAAGCCTCACCGAGCGTCTCCTTGCTACCGCGATCTTGTCCACAGGAAGCCGCGACCACATGGCAGCAGGGAAAATGGCCGCGGATCCGGTTCGTAAGTAGAGGCAAGTTCGTAAGTAGAGGTAAATTTTTGGGGCTGGAGCTGGTCGTATCGCGAAAAGTTCGTAAGTAGGGGTGTTCGTAAGTAGAGGTACCACTGTATCTCACATAGTTAGGCTCAGTTTTAAAAGCCATTGGTCATAATATGGAAACTACCTGTGATACGTTTGAGGATTTCCAATGGGACTGTAACTCCTAGGGTCTTCAGCATTCCCCCAGAATTACTAGCTGCCATCATATACTGTACTGAGCAGTAGAGTTCAGAAGTCCTTTTTTTTTCTCCCTTATCCTGGTCATAGTAATATAAAACCAGCAAATTCATTTGTTTGTTAGATGTATATCCTGCCTTTCATACAGGGGCTCAGGATAGTGGGCATAGCAGTCCCTCTTATTTTTCCTCCCAAGAACCCTCTAAGATGTGTTAGGTCAAGAGAGAGTGACTAGCTCAAAGTCACCCAGTGAGCTTCTGTGGGTCTTCCCAGTGCCAGTCCAACATCTTAACCATTACATTACATTGGCTGTCAAGAGGGGTTAGATGTATTAATCTTGAAATTTCCCTTTCCCTAACACTTTGGTTTAAAAAAAAAAGTCAAGCACTTATTTATAACAGAACATCTTTATAGTTTGCATAATGAATTGTTAAATCTTAATTATTATATTGCCCTGCCTCTTGTAATAAGAACACATATTTGTTTGAAATAGCATTAAGTGTTAAAAGTATCTTAATATTTAAATAGATGTTTTAACAAGTGTATTATGAGAAAAGATTTCTCTTCCTGTTTGCTATTTTGCCAAATGCTTTTTTCCTTCTTGTCTAGGTCAGCTTTCCTTGCTGCTCATATCCCTCTTTTCTTGTATCCCTTCTTGCACACCGTCAGCAAGACTCGTCCCTTTGAATACCTGCGCCTCACAAGTCTTGGAGTAATTGGTAAGCTGCTTTTTGATGCTAGTAAATTCTTGCTTTTGAGAAACGAAAAGTAGTCTAGATTCATCAATAAGAAGTAAAAGCATTGTATTAATTAGGTGGCAATTCTCTGAAATTTGTCTGGAGAGTTAAAAAACTACATGGAATTATGTAGCAGATTGCCAGTGTTGGAAAGAATTTCCAGATTGGCTGTATAGTGTAGGAGTAGCAGTCACAACACATCTGAAGGGCACTTCTGTTGGGAAAAGCTATTCTAGAATGGCCTTTGTCACTAGGCTTCTGGGAATACGTTTAGCACAAATGCCAACTCAACTAGGAAGTAAACTTATTAACCGGGGATCCAGATTAGTCCCAAGTGTGTGTTCCATTGCTACATTTTCTGTTCCTTCTTTCTAAGTCCAGAGAGTTTATTTTACAAATTAATTAATGCAAAATGGAAGTTCTCAAACTGGGTATCCCGGAACATTGAAAGAACTTTTATAAGTTTATTTTATTTTTGTTTGAACTTTTATCTGGCTTAAATGTGCCTATAGATCCCATTGGAAGTTTTGACAAAAAGTACTTTTAAAAATTGACTTGATTCAATATCTGGAGATTTCCGTAGGGTATAATTTGTTATGTCAAGGATTTATGATGGTGATGATGATGGACTTCATATTATGCTAGCCTTGAAAATTAGGAAGTTTCAGCTGAAAATAAATGCAGTAGACAATTTTTTGAGGGTATGGGAAAGTGGAGCATATCCTGCTAATGCAGAAGAGGGTACAGTGGCTCCAACCTAGCATCCTGATCTGATTCAGTCATGCTAGTATTGGCCCAAGTCATAAAGAGCTTTAGAGATCCTGTGTACCTGAGGGAACAGCACTGTTCTCTTTATATTCTTCTAAGTCTTTTAAAGAGATGTTTTAATGGACGAGCTGAAAAGATTTGTAGCAGCATCGCTTCAAGAATAATGGAACACAATGCTGAATCCTAAGTTTCTGTATAGATCTGTTAATAAATTAATGGGTTTATAAAGCTGAGTAAAAGCTGACTATTGTACATTCCATAGATCAGTGTTTCTTAAACTTTTTTCTCTCAGGGCCCCTTCCAACTGTTAAAAATTACTCAAGACCCAAAAGAGCTTTTTTTTAATGGGTTATATTTATCAATATATTTTTCCACATAGGCTGGCAAATAATTTTGATTTTGGGGACCCCTGTGGGGGTCTTAGGGGATCCCTGGAGGTCCTAGGACCACACTTTAAGATACACTGCCATAGATCAAAGTATATAAATTTTAGTTAATCTATTGGCCAAGAAATATTTCATGAAGAGATGAAGGAAAGTTTAAAAACCTACTATAAGTTATTCTTAAGTGCAAGAAAAGAAAAAAAGTTGAAGAAAAATAGAAAAGAAAGAAAAAAGATATAAAGAAGTGGCTTCCAATCTTATTTACAGCAGTTATAAATATAAATTTACCTCTTACTCTATGGTTACAACACAACTCTCTTCTTTCTATAGTCTTATCCTGTCTAATCATCAAAACCATAAACCATAAATTCATTTTTTTCTGTTTCATGCAAAAAGTCTATAAGAGGTTTCCAGTCAGCAATAAATGTAGATATTGCCTTTTGTGTAATCAAAGAAGTCAATTTAGCCATCTCAGCAAGTTCTGTCATCTTTACCAACCATTCCTCCATTGTGGGTAGTGCCAAATCTTTCCATCTTTGTGCATGCAGTAATTTTGCTGCAGTTATCATGTACAAAAACAAAGTTCCATAACTTTTTTCCAGCTCTTTGTCCATGAATCCTGACTATCCTGTTGTATTTGATATAAGAGTTTTATATAGTATTTAAAAGGTTCCTTTAATTTTTAAATGATGTGAATGTCATTGTTTTTCAAATACTCTTAATGATCTTGTTTATTAATATTGAGTACGCTTAAGAAGAAATTATTGCATGTTTTATTTGAAACGAGATTGAAATTTCTGGCCAATTTTTCAGTAGGATATATTCAAGAGAGAAAAATATTCCATCAGAAATCAAGTCTCTAGTCCTATAAATGTCTTCTATAATTTTATTCATATGTTTAAAATTTGATTAATGAAAGAATAGAAGATAGGAAGGATCAGAAACTTCCTATTATTTGTAAACTTCTACAGTAAGTTTTAGATTTGTGACAGACACTTATTACAGTCATGGAGGAATGATTTTGCCTTGATAGATTGGAAGTTCAGAGCTAATTTAATTTGTATCATTAATCATCTTGAGTTCTGAATAATGTAGACAAATTTTTTAATTAATTGAGAAGTACCAAAGTAACACTTGAGAACAATTATTTGAAATTGGACCATGGTTCTACCATCCTTTCATTAATTAATTAAAATTTACTAATTTTCTTTTAGTTCTGGTCAGTTCAACTTCTGTTAGATTTTTGTCAGGTTATGTGAAATTTTATGTGGCCTTTCCATGTTTTTAAAGGGGCTCTTGTGAAAACAGATGAACAAGAAGTGATCAATTTCCTACTAACAACAGAAATTATCCCTTTGTGTTTGCGCATCATGGAGTCTGGCAGTGAGCTTTCCAAAACGGTATTGCTTTCAATTTAATGAAATTATTCCAACTTCATGATTGCTCTCTTTTACTTTCCTTTACATCATATTCCTACATGTCACAGGCTAGCTTTCTATCCAGAGTTAGCAAGTTAGTTATTTCACCCAGGAAATTGCAGATGTACCTGTTCTAATTTAATAAAATTATTCTATCTTCATGGTTGCACTTTTTTCTTTCAAATTATTGATATTCCTGTGCAAAACAGGCTTGTTTTCCATCTAAAATTAGTAACCTATTTTTCCCTACAAAGTGATTGAAGATCTGTCTTTTTCAAACTGTTAGGATTCCCTGCTTCGTTTCAAAAATACTGCTTTGAAAACAAAGCAAAATCATGGATGTCTGTTCCATCTTTCTTTCATTTTTCATTTCAAGGTGGTTTTATACTTATCATATGTAAATCTTAAATTATTATGACAGCACTGCTTTGGAAAAATGAACCATTTCTGTATAGGTTATCTGAAATGTCTAGAGTTGACCTTTATGGCTTTATGAGAGCTTGAGCATTTTCTATGCCTTCCTTTATCTTTAATTTAGTCCTAAATGCACCTTTAGGTATGTGTCTCTTGCCTAGTAAATGTGTGTCAACATTTATCTGTACAATTGAAGCTGATTTCATTAACTTGTTAATTTCATTTACAGGTGAATCTCAAAAAATTAGAATATCGTGCAAATGTTCATTTATGTCAGTAAGGTAACTCAAAAGGTG